TAATTATCTTAGTGACTACGGCAGGTGTGACTAAAGTTATGGTGTTGGACGCGTCCGCTGACTCTCCATTGCTCCGCGGGGAGTCCAGTGATTCTCCGCTGCTGCTGCGTGGAGAGTACTGGGGCTGAGTGTTCTCCATCTCCGCCTCCTTCTTGGACACGCGGGAGAGGTCCAGGGGCGAGGTGGCCACTCGAATCTTCTTCACTTCCTCGACCTTCGGGGTGTACAGGTTGCCTCTGTGGCGAACGAGGGGTGGGAAATTAGTGTCGTTTTCTTTCTCTTTCTCTCTCTCTCTCTCTCTCTCTCTCTCTCTCTCTCTTTTGGGGGAGGGGTGCGTATGAGGGATGGGGGGTTAGGGAGGGGTTCTCTTGCCTCTAAGTTTCTTAGATTAATTCTTTAAAAAAAATAAGGAGATTTCCAGTGTTCAAAAGAAAACAAAAAAAAAAAAAACGCTGAATCTGTTACATTACAACAGCCATCTCGTCTAACTAAAACAAAAATATATATATATATATACTCAAGTACTCAATTCTGTCATGAAAAGGAAAACTCCATCTACGACTAAACACGAAAACTTTCTATCACAGAGCAAATCTAAGAAAATATACAACTACAAGTACGCAGTCCACAACTACAAAAGGAAGACCAGATGAGGAGTTCGAGTTCTATAACAGACTGTCACTGTGTTTGGTCTACCTTTGAGTGGGTGCTCTCGTCCAGGCCAGTCTGAAAAAGCAGTCATAAAAACAGTCCACTACTGCGGTCTAGTCTATTGTCTGTTTCATGAAGATCAGGTCAAAGGTCATACAGTCTAAACCATGCAATTCGTATTTCCACAGGTCAAAATCCTTCGTGTTTGCTGATAAGAGTGAATTTCGGTTGGGAAGGAAAAAATGCTCTTAACTGGCATGCAAACATTATTTTTTATTCTTTCTTTTATCACTCTTAATAGACTATTGGATTGATTTAACTTTTATTTTAATTTAAGCATGCAGCTGTCAGTAGATTTTTTGCTAGTTTTATTATTTTTTAAGTAAAGTAGGATGAGCTAGCAAAGTTGTGTGTGTGTGTGTGTGTGTGTGTGTGTGTGTGTGTGTGTGTGTGTGTGTGTGTGTGTGTGTGTGTGTGTGTGTGTGTGTGTGTGTGTGTGTGTGTGTGTGTGTGTGTGTGTGTGTGTATGTGTGTGTGTGTGTGTGTGTGTGTGTGTGTGCGTGCGTGTGCGTGTGCGTGTGCGTGTGCGTGTGCGTGTGCGTGTGCTGTGCGTGTGCGTGTGCGTGTGTCTGTGTATCATTTACTTAGTTATAAAACAAATCACTGCTAGCCACATGTATCCCTCACAAAAAAAAAAAATCTCCACGCCAATGAAATAAAAAATAGCGTCTGTTCTCCACCAAACAGCCGTCACTCACTCTATATTCTTAGTGTCTGACGTGTAGAGCGATGCGGACGGGTGACTGGGTGCGTGCTGTGATTGGTCGATCGCTGAAATAACCAACGGGGTTCCACAAGGTCAAACAACTACAAGGTAAGGTCAGACAACTACAGAGTAAGGTCATAAACACAGACAGGCTATTATTATCACCTTTACTGGGTTTAGAAAATTTATACTACTCTCTGTCATGTTGATGTGAATGACTATTCTTAATACATATGTTCTATTTTAATTAGTATTGATGATTCAGAAAATTACGATTGATAATTATCGCAATTCAGTAACAAAATAAGGGTTAATATTTTTTCCTCATAATTGACATATAACTAAATGACTAAAATATCATATTGCACATACATAATAAACAAATATCATTTGGACAATTAATAGAATTGAAACAAAGTGGGTGCGGGAAATTAATGCCAGTTAGTTTTATTCATGCTCAAACAATTCTGGCTTTATGATATTAGTAGTAAATATATTCAAAAAATATAATTTCATGCAAAGCTGATATCAATTTGACATTCTGAAGCTGCCATTCTTTTAAAGCATCGTGAAAATGCAACAATCAAACACATCTTTATCCGCAGCATAATCATTAATCCAAACTAAAACAAAAAAAACAAGTAATCATTTGTTCTCAACATGCCATGCAAAAATCAGTAAGGGTAATACAAGCCATTATGTGCTGGTCAAAACGGCAAGGATATTCGCAATAACTAATCATTAATTGCAAGGACACACATGCTATATTCTACGTCTAGAACTTATACCGGGTCAAAAAAAGTCCTGGATATAAGGTCAAAATGTCGAAAGAAATGTCAAATAGCAGGTCAGACTGGGTCACATGCATTGGCTGGCCGAAGGGAAGATGTGTGCAATGTGTTTGGTGAGTTTGATATCAATAAAATTTTGAAGGGAGAGTAAAAGACGATATTTGATACCATGAAGGTTCTGTCTGTTGGCTCATACAGAGAAAAAGGCAAATGATAAGAACGTTGAATATTCATTACTATTCATACCATTAACGATATCCAAATAATGATAATGATAATGGTAATGATGATGATAATGATGATGATAATCATAATATAATCATAATAAATAATAAAATGATAATAATAATATAATAATAATGATGATGATGATGATGATGATGATGATGATGCATGATGAATAATAATAATAATAATGAATGATAAATAAATAAAATAATGAATTATATCACAAAATAAAAGTTAAATGACAGCAATGTAATAGTAATAATAATAATAATAATAATAATATAATGAATAATATAATAATAATAATAACAGCGATGATGATGACAGTAAAAATCAAAGGAAATCATATCAGAAATAAAAAGTTAACACACACCACCACCATTCCCATATTCTCTTAAGCATGCACAAAATTTCTAGCAAGGCGACTAACTTCTATACTTTCTTAAACTTTCTGGAACATGCAGTTGCAGTTAAGAAATGACAAGCAATAGAACCTATGATTAAGGCTAAGCAATCATTAGCAGAAGTATATGAATCGATACTTTAAACTTGACTTACTTTTGCCCTTTGAATCCGAAAACACGAAATGGCTAATGCAGTTACTTTGATATATATGTACAGAACGATTTTATTCTCGTTATCTTTGTAACCATGACCCACAAAATGACATGCAAGTGCTGGTTAATTTGACACATCAAGTTCCCGACGGTACCTATCAGCACTAAAGACTATAATTAATGCAATGACCATAATCACCATCATCATG